GGGGGTGGTTAGGAAAGAGGCCTGCTGTACAGTTTTAGAAGATATCATTAAATAAATTTAGTAAACAAGTATTGAAATCTTCCTCTAGCACTGGACTATTCCCATAGGAAAATTAACAGTGTACATGTATCTGTATCAGTATGGTTATGGGTATGGGTATGGGTATAGGCATGGGCATGGGCATGGGTATGGGTATGGGTATAGGTATAAGTATATATTTAATGGTTAGGATCAATGTTGACCTGATGGAGAAATTTGATTTGGTTCTCATCCAATTCAGTTCACAACCAGAATTGTGCAAAGAATTAAGTTGTAAACCAAGGTACTACTGCATGTATTATATATATATATATATATGCTATACACAGACATAGATATGCTATACATAGCATATGATATGCTATACACAGACATAGATATGCTATACATAGCATATGATATGCTATACACAGATATTTACATAGATATGCTATACACAGGCATTTACATATGTCATTCATTACATAACATTTCAGTCAATGATGGAAAACATATATGCTGGTGGTCCTCTAGGATGTTAGTGTAGCTGATATATTCCTGTTGCCTCATGAATACATAGTTAAAAGTGAATCAAGGATAAAGAAAACTGCACAAGAAGGGCAAGAAGAACCCCCAAGAATTTCACAGTGATAGGTTTAGTAAAATCTTTTATAGACCTCAAAACTTCTGAAAAGTATGAAAGCATGGATCCCAACACTGAAAGGTTTTCATCAATAAAGAGGAATATTCATATGGCATTATCTCTTTAATGCAAACCTATCATGAAAATAAAGAAAAAAACCATGTAAGTTACCAAGGATATGTTGTAGAAAAGAGAAGCACAGCTCAAGAACAGCCTCTACAGGTCCTTGCGACCGATTCCAGAAGACAGCACTGTTGTCACAGGAGGTCTCAGCTCCGTGTGTGCTAATTGTCTCTGAAGGCTTTCCAGTGGCATGAGATGTGGAGGCGGAGGACAGTGATACTAGTGATCTTGGTGCTGAGTAGGCCTAGGAAAATGTGTGTGCTTGTGTCTCACATTTCAACAGCAATGTCTAAAACAGAGGGGGAAAAGCTAACAGAATAAAAGCATATAGAAAGAAACTGTACAGCTGTGCAATGTGTTTATGTGTTAAACTAAGTAAAAATCTTGGCCTGGAGATGTAACTCAGTGGTAAAACATTTGCCTAGCATACATGAGACCCTGTGTTAATCTCTAATGCTGCAGCAAAGAGAAAAAAGGAAGGAAGGAAGGAAGGAAGGAAGGAAGGAAGGAAGGAAGAAAGAAAGAAAGAAAGAAAGAAAGAAAGAAAGAAAGAAAGAAAAGATGAAAGAAACAGAGAAAGAAAGAAAGAGGAAGAAAGAGAAGAAGAGAGATGGAGCAGCAGAGGGTAAAAAGAAAACTAGCTACAGTAAGCTGAGCTTAATTTACTGTTTACAATGGAAAAGCAACTTTTATTAATTTAGTGTTACCTAAGTGTGTAGTGTTTATAAAGTCTACAATAATGAACATTAATTCTCTTGGCCTTCACACTGACTTACCGCTCTGAGCAGTTCAGAGCAAATTCCAGTCTTGTACTCAATTCATGGTAATTTCCCTACACTGGTGTACTACCTTTTATCTTTATACCATATGACTGCTGTACATTTTCTACATTTATATACAGAATTTTTTACCATTGTGTTATAATTGCACACGTGCCCAGTATAGTTCTACAATGTGCACATTTGTGGCATAGGAGCAATAGGGTGATTTATGTAATCTAGTTGTATAGTGGACCATACTACTTAGGCTTGGACTCTCTTTGATATTCTCACAAGGGGAAAACTGCCTAAAAAATCATTTCTCAGAACATATCCTTATTGTTAAGTGTTCCAAAAATCCCTCTTTTTCTTTCTCTTTCTCTCTCTGTCTGTCTGTCTGTCTCTCTTTGTATATGTATATATATATATATATATTCTAGTATATATATATGCCATATATACATATCTAATGTATATGCATACTAAACATATATACATCTATTTATTTTTGTGTTTATACAATGTGTAAACAAACAGTACCCATGTGGTTTGCTCAGCAAATATTAATTGAGCATCCACTGTATATCAGCCAGGTACTGTGTATGTCTTTCGGCCTATGTAAATGAAAGAAAATGCAGTTTTCCATGAGTTGGTCATCAAATAGAGTGACCAAGGCATGCATATTAACATGGAAGCATAATTACCGAGTAGTTGTTTAAAAAATGAAATACTTGCCTAATGTTATATTCAAAGAACAAGCCAAAATGTTTAAAAGTTAAAATATTAGTGTGAGGTACATATAATAGTATATATTATAAAGCACTTATTTATATATGGAAGACATATCTTCTCTGGAAATAAGTGTGCGTGGAAAGGAAATGCACAAAAAAATAAGAAAACTTCGTGTAGTTTTCAGTCTTAAGAAACCAGAGCTGATATTAAGATCTTTATTTCTTTTACAAATTATAATTGAAAAAGGTAGCACCAAGTGCTTTTCATGAGTTAAAAATAATGAACAATGTTATAAAAGCCAGTATGATGTGAGAAGAGGCTGCTGGAAAGTGGAAAATTGTAGAAGAAATTATGTATCATCTCTAAAATGTCATTACTTGGTCTCATTTTATGAAATTTAGCCATATTATCCGAAAGCAGGCCTTCTCGAAATTTTTTTAATATAAACCCAACAACCTAGTCACTATTTTTGAGTAAAATCTTAAATTAAATTATTCTTTTGAAATACTCTGGAAACTCAGCTCATAAAGTCATGTCTATGTACTAGCGACACCAATTTTATCACTCCCTTTCATTTGTTTAAATAAAAATGCTTAAAAAGTTGTATCTTATTTTCAAATAACATCCTAACCAGGCAGTTATGCTTGTCTGTTAAACACCTCAATAAAAAGACAATTTATATAAGGGATGCCTTTCCAATATCTGTCAAGAAATATACTGCTTTTAACTGAGACAATATAAAGTCACAACAAGTGACACTGCTTTCTCTATGTCTACACATTACATCTGTTAACAAAGCCACGGAATCTGTTTAGCACCTAATATTTGAAAGAAGGGCCGCTAAACACTGTTTCACCAAGAGTTTCTTGAAGGTGATAACCTTTAATTTACTCTGATTTCTTTCTCCACCGCACTGATTTCTCCTTTGTACCTTAAAAATGCCCTTCATTCCCATCAAATTGTTTTCTGAACAGTTCTCAGAGCAGCTGACAGTATTTTTAAAATACTATTTTAGAATACTATTTTTTCTTCTTTGTGTCTTTAAATTGTATATATATATCTATATATATCTCCTCAAAGAGTCAGTTCTAGTGACCTAGTTATGTTTTTGTTTTCTTTTAAATGATGCTCTAAAAATAGAGAAAGCTGGGTCTCCCTCGGTGTTCTTATCTTCACATTTGTACAAATAAGCAACAAGCTTGATTGCCACTTCTACATTCTATACTCATTTCCAGAGTCCTATTGTAAATGCTATTTGCACTGGAAAATCCAGTGCATGTCTTGCACTCAGCCTGCCCTCCTTGGGTTTCTTATTTCTCCATACAAACCACTCTGTTTCCCCTCTGTCCCGCCTTTGCTGCAGAAAACATCCACATGCTTAGAATTTTACATTTTGAGCTCTCTAATCTCTATCTCTTATATCAAAGAATGTTCCAGAACTGCTGTATCCAATTTTTATTTCAATAAATGTCACTCAGTTAAAAACACCCAGCCAATTTTGAAGAAAAAATTAATTAGTGAGCAGTTCACTAAAACACGCACAATTTTCAGTTCAAATGCTTTAAAAGACGCTGCTAAATATTCTCAATGATTGACAAGTGCCTTCACTATCTTGAGATTTTGTAGAAACAGAAATTACTGGCACAAAAGGAATAGACCCCTTTTTAAATTTTTAAAAAATTTTTACTTGAAACACTTAGCCTCAATTAAATCTAAAAAAAATTAAATATGAATGTGCAACCTGGGGTTTCTTTATTCTTTTATATATTCAATCGTTTTTGATCCTTTCAGATCCTCACTGAATACACCCTACTTCTGAGAGCTGTGGACATTTTAAGAGTCAAAATATCTTTCCAATCATTTTGTATGGGACAATGAAATATTAGCCAGAAACTACCGATGAAGGAGTGTCATATGTGAAAATTCACGTAGTAAACTAACATCAACTCCAAATTGATGTAGTGAACTAACATCAAACCAGCTAGATTCCAGAAAAGTGTGTTACAGATGGTAGTAACATAAGGTTTATAAAAACAGAAAATGCAGTATTTCTAACAAACATTCCTGCTTCCAATTTTTTATATATAAATAAGTTTTGTATAGTTTAATGTTTTCCCATCAAAGTTTCTCTCTGCACACAAACAGCTTTTCCTCTTCAGGCATCTCTCACACCTAGAATTAAATATCTGAAATGCACACGATAGAATCACCAACATTTCCGTACTCGGTTTACATCTTGCAGCATAACTCTGACGTGTAACCTTCTCCTGAAGTTATTTTTTTCCTCCTTGAAATTCCTATTAGTCCTTTACCAGTTCTGTTTGTTCTCTTAACAGCTCATTTGGTGGTAGAGAGAGAGATGGTGTTCAATAGTCTCACAGCTGGCTCTCCCTTGAAGAGAACTACCTGCATATTACACTGGATTACACTTTTATTGCAAATACAACAAATAGCCTTGAGCCACTCTGCTGTTTCAAGGATTTTAAGAAGTTCTTCCTCATCAAGTATTGACTTTTCGCAACTTGTGCCACCAGGTGCAAATTGTATTTCCATGGCATGCTGATCTCTAGGAGAGTTGTTCAGGCAGCCTTACTTCAGAGACCCTGGATGTACAATGGCAAATGGAAACACTGAAACAACACCCAGGATATGGAGGCAAATTTATTTACATCCATGGGCACCAATCAAGACCATTCCCAGAATATCGGGCCCTGATTACCAGTGGTTTAGGGCTTATACTGGATAAGCAGGCAGGAAGTACAGAGGCAGAATGCTTTCTTACTTAGGGATTGGTTTATACAACGTGCATCATAGTGACCAGCTAGGTATCACAGTGACCATGTTCCTAAGAGACACAAGCAACTGGAAGTGGAACAGGAACTATTACCTGGGCAACTAAGAAAGTGAAATATACTGGCCTGGGGAGACATTTTCTCTTATAGATGTACGATGCTTTCTGTTCAACAGTAGCTGACACTTGGTAGAGCTTTATGGAGGCTTCCAGGCCAATACCTGGTTCTAGGGATTCACAGAAACCATGCAGTGCTCTAAGAACAGCAGCACTGATTTTTTTCCACCCTCAGTAGGGATAGAAGGTGTGCAGAAGAAAACGTACCCAGACCAGAGCTGGATGGTAGTCTGGAAAACCATCAAGATCTTCTCTTTAAAATGTGTCCATTCTGCTCATACTTTCCTCACACAATTATCATAGTATAGGTAAATACTGAAAGATACATTTTAAGGGTTTTAGTTATCTTTGAACTTTGTAACAATATGATAAAATCTGAAGGATAAAGGATTTTTCTAGAAAACATGTCTTCTGTTGTCATAGCGTCAACAACACTCGCTCCTGTTCTCCTTGAATAATGTTAAAAATGAAAACAAAGCAAACAGTCTACGCTAAAGCCACTTTGGAAATGATGCAGAATGAGTTGGGATGGTTTTGAGATCTTAGAAGTTTGGAACTAAAAATATTTTAATAACAGTGAAAATATATTTCTATAAAGTCTGAAGAACTAGACCATCCCATTCTAAATGTCTATTATATTGAAAATGTTCCCATAGAAATTTACACAAATCCAGACCATATTTTAGTTCCATTATTGAAAAATTTACAAAACAAAATAAATTTATGAATTAAGACTTTGTTCCTACCAGTTCAGCTCAACTTGTGTTTTTTTTGAGTACTTACTGTACACCAGGCCTTTTCCTAGACATTGAGAATACATAAGACAGTTCCTACCCTAGAGAAACTTAAGTGTCTGGTGACAGTCTTCATTCCAGTGATATATAGTAAGTACTAATGCAAAAGAAGCTCAGCACAATCAAATCTTGGTGTTAGGGAAAGATTCTTTCACAATCTGGTGTCTGAAATGTCAGTCACACTGTAATTCCACCTAATAGACTACTTTGGCTTTAATAAGGAAGAGGGCTTCTAAGAAGGTATGACTAGAACGAGAGATGCCAGCAAGGAGGACCCTGTAAGTGAATTAGGAAATAGAGACCAGGATAATGGGAGAGAACACACAGGAAGTGAGATCACATCTTTCTCAGCTTTCCCAGTTGAATATATCTCCTGTTCTTCACACAGACTTTGCTGAATGTTCATAGGAATGCCCATAAAATCTGTCAAAGTTTGTGTGACTTTATATTTTGAATAACTTTTTTCCTAAATTTACTAAATGCAGTTTTATCCCTATGTTTAGTAACTGCCAGTTCAAGAGTTATTTGTCAAGGTAGGTATTCTGGGGTTATCGATATGACCTTGTTGGTTTGGGTGCAGAATGGAAAGGAAGTGAGCTCATACTAAATATCTTAATATGATTATACAACAAACAGGAGTATGTTATTTGAAATGGCTTTGTTATGCCAATTAGCACAAAAATTAAAATAACAAATATTTACATAAAGGAATACATTATAAATCTCTTCAGTGCCTATCCTATAGGAGCATTAAGAAAATGTGAACCTAACCAGAGCTTTAGAAAAATATCTATTTCATCTCTTTTATTAAAGACCACCAGGAGAACTAATAATTGAAATGTTATTTTTAACAGCTTCTGTTTTGGATCTAAATCTCATAAACTTTGTAATATTAACATTGACCATTAATTTGCACTGCATCAATTGAAATCCTAGAAGCTTCGCAATAGAATTAAACTACCCCTAGGCAGGACTTAAAATAGACAATTATTATCCTTCATGTACATAACTGATGTTCTGTATGTGATAACAAAATATTATATTATTGATTTAGAACTAACATACTTCATTCTGAATGATCACCTCTGATAAATGTAAGCTGGATTTATCTTCATATTTCTTATTTTCTATAATCTCTGACATAACTGGACACTGTCAACATAAAATAATTTTCAGGGTAAAGATGAAGACAGATGGCATATAGAAATGTAAAATGTACGGATACCATTTTCTATAATATGCCCAAAACACCTCCAGATAGAAGGGAATAGAAGAAAATAAGAAATGTTTACCCTCTTAGCATCTTTATGCAATCTAAGTCCACTCTACTAGCATTAAATTTCTTTTGAAAAGAGAGAATTTTGATTTTGTGCCATGTTATGGTTTAGATCTAAACTTTCCCCCCCAAATTCTCATGTGTAAGAGGTGATTGGATCATGTGGTGCTACATTTACCAGTGGATTCGTGCATCAAAGCATTTGGGAGCTGGCTGTGCTGTTAGAAGTGGGGGTCTGGCTGGAGGTGGGTCCTGGATGAGTGACCTGGAGGGCGGGATTCTTGCCCTCAGCTGCTCCCTTCTCTTCTGCTTCCTGGTTGCTACGGGTTGAGTGCTTCTCTGCAGTTCCCTTCCGCCATCCTGCCTCTGCCATGGAGCAAGCCGACCATGAACTGAAACTGTGAGGCAAAATAAATCACGCTTTCTTTATTGTAGGTATCTGGCATTTTTATATCAGCAACTAGAGGACAGTAGTCAAAGATACATCACTGGGAGTTCTAAGGTAAAGGTCTGAATGCTTTGGGGTAATCCAATTGAAGAAATATGTGGTTTTTTTTTTTTTAATTTGAAGATGATATTTTAACATGAATTTATTCTTAACTATGCCAAAATAGAAGTCACAGTTTTTCTAATGCTCTGTATCCTGCATTTGGATTTATTCTTTATTCCTTACTGGTTTCCACACAATTTTACCTACCTCATCCCTTCCCATAATAGGGACAGAGTTGGAATCCTTTTTTTTTTTTTTTTTTTTTTTAAGAGAGGAGTAAATGAGAAACAAACAAATAGAAAAGTAGCAGCAAACCAGTATCACAAACATAAACAAATCAAAGCAAGAACATTCAAAGTGATACAGAGT